AAAAAATTTTAATGAAGATATTTATCTTAATTATGAAAATATACTAGCATGTTTTTTAATTTTTGGAACCTAACCCTCCTTTTCGTATTAGTTCTTTGTTTCGTATAACACGGATTCGCATAACACGGCAATTTTTTGGAACGTAACTACCGTGTTATACGGGGGTTACCTGTACTTAGTTTAGTTTGCTTGATTCACATGATTGCAACTTATGTATTTTCTCATTACATTTAAGAAGAAAAGTGCTTTTTGTGATCTACACAAACCATATGTCTCAAGAACTGAACTTAGTTTATCTGTTTGAAGTTCAATAGTAAATTTTTTTTGTTTACATCCCTTGCTTTCTAGCACTCCCTCAAGTCTTCTTCTGTTCTCAAGGAGGCACTGACTTATGAGTAAAGAGGCAAGCAGTGTCTTCTATTCAATAATAAAGATGATGATAATTTCTTAAAAATAAAAACATATATAATGTGATAAAAAGTAAAAAATAAATCTTCCATTAAGGTTTGACATTTTTTGACAGTCCCACATAGTAGTGTATTTACTTAACATATGGTATATTCAATGAAGCTTGAAGAATTTATGATAACCAACAAAGTCACTTACTTTCTATCATTAAAGTTATATCTGTTTCAGAAAAGAATAAATAACAATATTTTAAAATATGAGTTTTTAATTGTCTTTTAATTTTATTTTATGTTCTATTTATTTTTCTTTCCTTCTCTTGCTTTCTTCTGACTAAAATAAGATTATTCAGCAAAAAAATTCAGTTTTGAGGATAATCGGTTTGAATATAAAATACATGTTTAGTATGCAGCTGAATACTTACTTTATGGCTAATAAATATGCTAAATATTTGATCCAACACCAATCAACAAAACATAAGAGCTAATATTTAATCAATGACTAATTAATCTCTATATCTAAAAACCATTTTAATTAAACTAAGGTTTAACCAACTGATTTCTAAATATTATATCTTTTGTTTTAAATGATAAAATTTTTAGAATTGTTTAATTAACATGTAATTCTACATATTTTATATCTTAATTTCAATTTTGAAAATATAATACAATTTGATTTTACACTTCTGAGGACTTCTGAACAAAGCTGGAAATTTTTTCATCTTCACCAATTTTTTTTTTATCACTCTCATATACTCTAGGTTCATATTGGTTTCCTTCATTAATCATCAGAACAAATCCAGTTTGATTCATCTGGTCTTTTAAAGGTACTGCTGCCTATAAAGAATATCCAATTTCAATTTTGAAAATATAATACAATTTGATTTTACACTTCTGAGGACTTCTGAACAAAGCTGGAAATTTTTTCATCTTCACCAATTTTTTTTTTATCACTCTCATATACTCTAGGTTCATATTGGTTTCCTTCATTAATCATCAGAACAAATCCAGTTTGATTCATCTGGTCTTTTAAAGGTACTGCTGCCTATAAAGAATATCCAATTTCAATTTTGAAAATTATTTGCTTAATTTACTATAATAATAATACTCACTTGAACAGCTCTGTCAACAATTTTTCTATAAATTTTATTTTCCACTATGGGAACTGGTGTAAGAGGAACTTCATAATATTCTTTACAAGCATCTTTATCTGTTAATATACACTTTCTTTTGGGTTGTTTTGTATCCCACTTAATGTGAATGCATATCTATAAAATTACAGTAATTTTTATATAAAAGTAGTTAAATTACATATAATTTTGCTATGCTTTACAATATTCAACTCCATAATTCAAACTGAATAGCACTGGTATTAAAAAACAAATTTTCAAGGAATCCATAAATTGTTTTTATTTATGAACTTTTTTCCTTTGGCTCCTTACACTTGGGTATCATACTTTACAAGCCGAAGGCTACAAACAAAACTGAAAAAGTTACTAAGTTCACACTTGAATGTTTTTCACATGTAGTTTTTATACTATATATTTACTTTTCTTTTATTTATTTTTACGTTTCTAAGTGATAAT